AACTTCTAACTTTAATTAGTCTCTTCCTCCTAACGTATTAATTCTTGCTTTTGCGTTAGCTGTTTCAGCTTTAAATTAGCCAATGCTTGCTTGACCTATAGCTGTCTAATAGATAAATGAGCGGTGCTGACGATATCTTCTGGCGGTATCTCTCTGTCTTCATACATTTCAACTGGCCTCTTTATGCTACGAATCCACCGTTCAATTCTTGATTCAAAATTCACTTTTGCTGGCAATGTTCTTTAAAATAACGTGCTTCGCTTTCCCATTCCTCTAAGTTTCCAGATAAAGTAGTGATGTCATCGTAATGCGCCTTCTCGAAGCGTGCAAGAGCTTTGTCAATGTCCAATAATTTCTCTAAACTTCATTGACATTCTTTGTGTCTTAAAAATGTTCCTTAGTTTCTCGTTTCAGTTTGGTTATTCTTGGCAAGTACCCAGCTCTTGAATTTTTCAGTCCCAGGCTGTCTAGGGCATCTTCAAAATGAAAACATCGTCTCCTTTGCCACTCAAGTCGGGACAACACGACATCCACCACAGATCTTTGAATGCATGTAATAAACACTCAAATTCGTCCTTTTACTTTACGATTCACTAGAACAGAATTAGGGCCAAAGAAAAGAAGAAAAATACAGAATTACTAAACGCGAACCAAAAGCTTTCTGAAAAAAGGATATCTTAGAGTACAAAGTACGAGTAAGAAAACGAGTAAAAAAACTATTCTTACAATATCTGTTTGGCAACTCCAGATACAACTAAACGACTGATTTACATGAACAAAGAAGGAAACTTTTATATTAAACTGAACTTAAAACAATAAACCTAAGGAACTTACCAAAATTGACAGTAACGGTTATATAACGCGATGCTGAGAAAAGAGTTACAGAAAGAATACGCATGTGGAAAAAGGCTAACAAAAAGAAAAACTACACCTAACGCAATAACAAGTGTTAATTAAACTAACTTCACGTAACGCAAAATGCAAATTATAGAATACCTTACTTGTATTAGATTTCACGTCGTATTCATTTTTGCTCAGCTCTAAATTCATGTGATTCAATTTCGTACACCTTGTTAAGACTTATTCACACAGCTTTAAATTTGCACAAGTAATTTTCCATGTTCATTCTTTTTTTGGTTTGTTTAATAGAGCAATTAACAAGTGTTTTTATCAACAAATACTACACTATTTGTCAAAACTTAATCAAAAAGCGATTAGTTGGCCCTCAAAAAATGCCTTCAAAATTATGTAATGTAGGCAAAATTCATGATAGCAATAAGCGTGAGTTCAAAAATACCAACGTGAACTAAAAAAATTATTGTATATATGGTTCTCATTTGCCTAATACAATAATAACATTAATATTACGGAACCGGAGAATATCCCGACTGAAATTGTCCAAGATGAAGATGAAGACATTTTTGATTTTTAATGTTAGTAGGACAACTTAAAACATATGTCAAATGTGTATATGCATTAATAAATCAACTGATTTGCATTACTAACAATGAGTGTCTCATATTACACCACAAAGCTTTTCGCGCAGATTATAATTCGCGCAGTACTAAAATTGGCGTACCCAGCGCTACGCGAATTCTGGTACTGCGCGAATTTTAATACAAGTAAGGTAATAAAAAATTCACAATCTCACATGGCTACAACCTGATTAAGCATTGCATCTCTTATCTCTTTGGTATTGTTCTGTCCAGTGTCAGCCTTAATGGTGTCAATGCAGTAGTTCTGGGTCTACCTCAATTTGGGTGGTTTGGATTCCCAAAGCAGCACTTTTGAAGAAGTCTCTTCATTGCGATTAGTACCATGGCCAGCTAATCTTAATCTTTGCACACAGATTTTTTCACTAACTCTTGGGAGGCTCCAATTTGGTGTAGCATCCTTTGACACTTGTCCCCAGTTTCTTGGTTGCGGTCCACCTTTCACTTCCATACTGAGTAAGACAGACACCAGAGTTGCTCTGAATAGTCTGATCCTTGTTGCTCGTGGCAGCTTTGAGGTCCACACTTTTCTCATTCAGATACTTGAAGTCCTCAAGAGGTTGAATTGCTTTGTTGCCCCGTGTGTTGAGCTTAGGATCAACATGATGGTTAAAGAACGTTTGTTTTGTCTTCTTTGCATTTGGTAGAAGACCAACTTGGACCTACGCTTCTTCAACATTTCTGACTAGCTCTTGAGCTTGTTAGAACTGATTACTAAAAAGAGCAATGTCGTCTGCAAAGTTTAGATCAGTGACTTTTTCGGCTTTAACTTTTTGTCCTTGTCTAGGCTTAATTTTTAGTCCAAGACTCTCCTCGTGACCCTCAATGGCCTCTCGTAGTGCGTAGTTTAGAGCTATTGTGAACAAGTAAGGGGCTAGTGTGTCTCCTTGCAGCAAACCTGTGGTGATTTTGAAGAATTCAGTTTCACTGTCGGTAAAGGACATTAGCGGTGTTTCCTCGTAAGTTTTAGCAACTGCGTCCACCAACTGTGTGGGGATGCCATAGGCCTTGAGAATCTGAAGCATCTTTCTCCTGTTGATAGAGTCAAAGTCTTTTCTGAAGTCGATGAATGTAATTACTGCTGGCAAATTTCTGTCTTTAAGTATTTGAACCCTTAATGCTCGTCATTGTAAATTCCTATAGGTTTTTCAAAGAGCGAGGTAAAAAAGCCAAACTGGATCAATTTGTATAACCACTTTGAATTGCTGTACTCTTAGTTCATAGACCTTGCATGTAGATCTGTGTCGTGTCTCATCCTGCTGAGTCTGTGCAATTAAAATGTCAGTCATGAGAGCACGGTATTAATGTACATACATACATAAATACATATTTTATTGGCTCGTCCCGGCGGGGCTTTTCAGAGTCAATGTTGCAATAATAATTTAAAGAAACACAGTTACACACCAGAAGCTAAAAACACGAAAAACAGGTTTCATTAAGCATCAGAGATTGGAGAATTTTCCGTCTACTACTCATAATTCTCGGGCTAAATTTCAATGAAGTATGGCAATTTTTTATTCAAATGAATCGGTCACCAATGGTGCATAACCCTTACCCCAAGTAATACTGAAACCATTAAAAGAATGACATGTCACTGTTTTCTGCGATCAATCAGGAGAGACCTTACGAGCATCTCCTACACAAGTGGACGAATCAGACGTGGATACGTTATGTAAAAAGAAATTATTCCCAGAAATGCGTAATTTAAGCGCTTGGCCACTTGCTTTACATTCCTAAATAAATGACAAATGTATAAAAGTTCTTATTTTAATACTAGCAGTCTTAAGTCCAATAAAACTAATAGGGGACGTGTAAAATATTAGACGGTTTGCTGAAGCATGGACGTGACTGTATGCTCAATGCAAAAAATTATTAAACGAATAGATACTACTGAAACAAAACGTGAAACAAAATAAAGTACACGATGAACAAATCATAGTAGCAAAGTTACGACTAGAAAAGTTTAAGTGATAAGAATCAAGAACAATTTCTTTGTGAACTGCTATGGAAATAAATTTGGCGATGTTTACGTTATATAAATGACAGTATCAATTTACTATGAAGCAAATGCAAATTTTGAGATTTTTCTTCTTTAACGATGACTTCTAAAACGGCACATTTTAAATTGTAACTGCAAAGGAAACAAAGAAGAAATATTCATTGACATTCAACAAATCGTCTATTCTCGGTTTTCATTCACATGAGAAAGCAGAAATAAAAATGGAAACCTTTTAATGCAAAAAGTCTAGAATATGGGAAATGAAAGAAGATAAACATACAAAAAGCCTTGCCAAGAATCAGGCCTATGCAATAGTTCATATGCGAGATATTTGGAAAAACGTTTTCCCAAATTTATAAAGCTTTGTATGGAGACGCCATGTTTGTGTCCCTTTCAGGGGCACAAATATGGCTGCCGCAAACCAACAGAAACATCTGTTTTTGAATTTTCCTACTTATGCGTGAATTCCTCACTTGAGGAACTCAAAGTTTAAAGCAATATTTATTCTAAGACAAGGAATGTTTAGATAGCAAAATCTCCAAAAATCCGTAATGTTTTTAACCCTTTTAAGAGCTTTCCCGGCCGCCAGCCAAATGCCGCGTCACGCAAAAGCCTTGAAATTCAACCGTCCTGTATCGCAAAACAAAGAACCCTTTTGTATAAAGGTTTTAAGGTGCTCTAATATCACATGAAAGTAGAAACTCAGAAGAAGCGATAGTTTCTTAGTTTGAATTTTGGTGACGTCATGTGAAAACCAAGAATTAAATCGAACATGCAAAGTTTTTCCTGAGAGCGAATTTGTTTAAGTGTGTTAAATCTAGCGCAAGCACATGTGTCACCGACAAAGGAGGGAATTAAAGTTAAAGCATATTGAGAATTATTGTATTTCTACTCTTTGGTATGTTTGGTATTTAATAAGATAGAGACACATGTCACAACTCTAGCAGTGTGTAACCGGGTTAGAACTCGATCATAATATAACAATAGGTCCCGTTAATTCGAATAAAAAATGTTTTGGAACCATGTAGAGGTGTGCAGTGTTTTTTGTTCAGCAGCTACGAGAAATAAAATTGGCTATTAGACAATAGGAAAAGCCGTCTCAGCAGGGTTGAAAACGCAAAATTTCCAAGCTCATTTTCATGCTCTTTCAAAATATTCTCCTCTTACTTCACACTATTCCCCTGCTCCCGCAATTCTTAATGAAACTCCTTGAAAAATAATTAACTATCTAAAGAAGACGTCCATAAGTAGTTATTGTAGGTTTGATCAGAACGCGTAGGGGAACAACGAACTTGCTTTTAATACAACCGTGAGTGCGAGTGACAAGATTTCTAATATGAATAAATTTACACACGTGATGGCCTGGAAGTATGGTCGAAAACCGCAGACCAGTCAATAATACTATATCCCCCTCCTTTTGAGGAAAAGATAGAAAACTAGATGCTTTGCTAATGTAGAACTGTTCAAGTTCCTAATAAAGAAAGAAAACTAAACAATGCACGCAAGCATAAGTTCAGTCTCTGTGGAGCTTTAACTCTCCTAGTGGATCTGCGCAGAGGAGGAAGAACTGCAAAAAGAGGAGTGTCTGTTTCACCAGCGGGGGAAGAGGCAACACTAGCACTGTCAGGTGATGCAGAGGAACTACTTGTCACGAGCTCTTCAGAACGTGAGTCACCAATTGGAATATCCTCAGGGACTTCATTTGAAGGAACTGGGAGTTCAAAGGGCTCATCAGTCCTTCGTAGGTGGCGACGGTTTCTTCTAAGTACTCCACCAGTGATATTAGCCACCATGTAAGACCGGGGGGCATCAGCCACACAGTGAACCACACCTGGTTCCGATCTGTTGTTGGCAGGGTTATGGATGCGTACACGGTCTTCTGCAAATAGTGGTTGAAGTGGCTGTTTGGCTGTTTTATCATACTGTGCCTTCTGCTTATCCTGTCCGAGTTGGGGTTTGACATTAACGTCCCCATTAGAAGAGGAACGCGTAGAGACTGCTGGAAGGTTTGTCTGATACACCCGGCCATTCAGAAGCTCGGCAGGTGATGGTAAGTCATGAGACAGTGGGGTGCTACGAAGACAAAGCATGGCCAAGTGAGGGTCCTGGCCAGATTCCTTGCACTTTTGTAGAACATTTTTCACTGTCTGCACTGTCCTCTCACTCAAGCCATTGGACTGAGGATACAAAGGGCTGGAGGTGACATGAGTAAACCCATACGTGTGGCAACAGAGGAGTACTGGGGACCATTGTCTGTCACAAACGTACTGGGGATACCATGTTCTTCGAAGACAGGCTTGAGGTGAGCAATAACTGTCGATGACTGGGTGTTGGCAAGCTTTTTTACCAGAGGAAACTTGCTGTAATAATCAACCACTAACAAGTAGTCAGTTTGGTTCCAGAAAAAGATATCAGAGCCTAATTTATGCCATGCTTTTGGAGGAAAATAATGAGGTAGCAAGGGCTCCTTTGTATTCAGCTTCTGGTGATGCTGGCACGGAGAGCAGGTTATTACTAACTCATCAATGTCTTGGTTAATGTTTGCCCAGAACACAGACCCCTTTGCTCTGAGCTTACATTTCTCAGCCCCTTGTTGGGCATAGTGTAGTTGCTTGAGAACAGCAGGCTTTAATGACTCAGGGATGATGATACGTGTGCCTTTCAGGATCATACCATCTGCTACAGTCAGCTCATCGCGATAGTTCCAGTAGGCAAGAAGAGCAGCAGGGTAATCAGATCTTCTATAAGGCCATCCACGTATGATGACTTCACGCAGGTTTGCCAGGGTTGAATCTTTAGCAGTTTCTTCCTGAATCTGGAACACCCTTGTTGGGCTAGCATTGAGGTGAAGATGTACTTCGTGAACGGATATATCTAGCCCTTGTACACCTTCACCAGGGCAGGAGCTGATCCTTGACAGAGCATCAGCAACAGGTATATCCTTTCCAGGAAGGTATTTAATTTGCACATCATACTTCTGTATGCGTAGCAACATTCTCGCAAGATGAGGTGGTGCACTTGACAGGTGCTTTTTGAAGATGACCCCAAGAGGTTTGTGGTCAGACTACGGCACAACGGGTCGGCCATAGGCATAATAATGAAACTTCACCAGACCAAACAGGACAGCTAACATTTCTCTCTCTGTATTGGAGTACCGACTCTGAACTTCGGACATCAACTTGCTTGCGAAATCCACAGGGCCATTAGCTTGCAGTAGGACTGCACCAATACCTCTCTGGGAGGCATCCACCTGAATGGTGACTGGCTGGGTACTGTCAAAGCACTGCAGGGAAGTAGGGGTTTTGATCACTTTCTTGATACGGTCTACTGCAGAGCGATGTTCAGGGCTCCAGACAAATTCACTTGTCTTCTTGGTGAGGCTCCAGAGGTGAGCTGCTGTGGAGGCCAAACTAGGAATGGAATGGCTCAAAAACTGAACCATCGCAAGAAATGTCTGTAAGCTTGTGAGGCTAGTTGAAGGATCCATGGACAGTACGGACTCAATCTTCCGTGGGTCAGGCTGCAGACCATTGGCACTGATTATGTGACCAAAGAATAGAATACGGGCACACTTGAACTTGCACTACGAAGGCCAGTCTCACGGGCATGTTGCAGGACAGCACTTAGATTCTTATCATGATCGCGGTCATCATATCCATACACAACAATGTCGTCTGCAATTCCAGTGACACCGGGTAAATCTTCAAAGGTTTCATCCACCTTCCTTTGGAAAATGTCTTGAGTACAGATTAACCCGAAAGGTAAACACAGAAACCTGTACCTTCCAAAAGGCGAATTACACAGCGAACTTTCTTGATCCAGCTCAATGTTCCAGTAACCGCTTCGAGCATCAAGGGTTGAGAAATATCTTGCACTGCTTAGATTAGGCAAGATATCCTCAAGTGTGGGCGTAAGATAGTGAGGCCTCTTAATGCCACGGCTCAGGTCCTTAGGATCTAAACAAAGCCATAATGCACCATTGCTTTTAGTGACACAAACCAGGGAGTTGACCCAGTCAGTTGGCTCGCTAACTTTTGCTAGGATTCCTTGCGTGACAAGAGAATCAAGTTCCTTCCTCAAGGGTTCCTTGAGGGCTTCCAGGACACTGCGAGGAGGATGCACAACTGGAGGAACTGCAGCATCAACTGTAATATGAAATTCACCTTGAAAGCAACCGACGCCCTCAAAGCAATTACCATACTGTTTGAGGATCTCCTTCTTGGCCACTGGGTCTTGATTACAAATGGGCTGCTGGACAGCACTTGGTTTGTACTCTTTCTTGTGGCTTGTCATACTAAAGTTCATGGTTATCAGGTTTAAATCTGTACAGGTAGGTAGGCCTAAGATAGTTGGACCATCTGCATCAACAACATGGAACGGGTAGGATTTACAGGAACTTCCATGAGGTAGTTTGAGATGACAAATGCCATGATGATCAACTGGATGTTCTCCAGTTGCAACTATGGTAGTACTGGATGATGCCAAGTTAACAGAAATACCATTAGGATTACATGGCGAGCTTGGCATAGAGACTTATAGGAATTTAGAGAAATGACGTTTCCCTCGGCACCAGTGTCAACCTTGCACAGAAGTGGTTTCTTCTGCTGATCAGCCTCGACTTCCACCTTCAAGAAGGCTTGAGTATCATTTTTTGTAACCTCATCAATTAACAGGGTGTGGAAATACAGCTGTTCTGCTAGAGAAGCTCCATTGTCAACTTGGGCTTCATCATGAGTCTCCAGGTTATGCAAATGCTTCTCCAGACCACGCTTCCCTTTAGAGGACTTGGAATGCTTGGAACCTCCCCTTGCATTTTTCTGTTTCCTGTAAGGCGTTGATGAGCGATAAACTTTCCTCCGATGATTTTCCTTACCACATGCACCACAAATTGATCCAACTGCTGGACACAAGGATCGCTGAGAAATATTAAGTTCAGAACCACAGCATCCACATAAACAAATGATGGGGCCACAGGGTTTGCTGGGTGTATTTGCTGCATTAGAAGGAGCCTGGCCACGCTTAAGAGCATCAATTCGAGTAGAATTATCGGTTGCAATCCCCTTGATTTGATTGCTTGGGACTTCTTCTGTCCTTACAATATCCAAAGCGGTGTCAAGGGTAAGTGTGGTGTCCTTTTCCAGAAGCTTAGTTTGTGTACGCCTCGAATTAGAACCGAAATAAGCGTATCGATGATGTGTTCATCGGGACTCGTAAACTGACACTCTCCCACAAGGATTCGAATTTTCTTCACATAGGAGTCAACCGTCTCATCTTGCTCTTGCTTTAAGGTTCGGAGTTTGTACCTTGCAAGTTTAAAATTGCTCTTTGGCGATAGGTAGCTCTCAAAGCGCGTCCAGTAGGTGCTAAGTTTCTTTCTTTCATCAGTAGTCAAGTTCCATGTGGAGACCAATTCGGTGCCATCATCTCCCGACCAGATAAGAAGACAACTTACTTGCTCTTCCTCTGATTCCTCTTTTAGTGGACCAGAAAAGTAAAGTTCACATCGAGCCTTGAATTTCTTGAATGCTTGTGGAGCGTCCGGCGAATGCCAGTCCATGGTTGGGATCGGTAAACCAGCGAGTTCCGCCATCTTGGATTCAACGAGCGGGAAATTTCTTTGAGGGCTTGATTCAGCAATTGCTCAATGACTTTTAACTCCTGACACTATATTGTAGGTTCGATTAGAACGCGTAGGGTAACAACGAACGTGCTTTAATACAACCGTGAGTGCGAGTGGCAAGATTTCAAACATGAATAATTTTACACATGTGATGGCCTGGAACTATGGTAAAGAACCGCGGACCACTAGTCGCCTAAGTTGACATGAAACACACGTGATACAATTTATTGAAAGAGTATGGCAACAGCGTTTTGATGAGAGAAAAAATCAATCGCACTGGCCTACTCTTCCAGAGTTAGCTCAATGGATATATCATTACGTCCCATCATCACAAAGGTCAGGGATCAATCCCCGTTAACCAAGTTACTTAGGTTGTTGCCATTGTTGGTTCAATTACAAAGAACGCGTTCAGTCTGATGATTACCTTATTTCTTGTACTGTTGCTTTTTAGTGAAATAGTCGATTGCCAGGAGCCAATCATGGTTGAGTCTCACAAGATTGGTATTTGCCGAGTATCTGCAAATGGAAAACCATGCAGGACTGTCTTTACAAGGATACACTTTAATGGAAAGTCAAGTGTTGTTAAATGTAAGTAGTTTTTACCACTCATGAAGAGGTTTCATTTTAACGAGTGAGATATTGCGACTCCCATTCAAAGCTTATAGTTATTAAAAATAATAGTTCTCTCAAGTTTAGCTCGTTGAGAGTGTTGAACGTAGAGCTTACTAACAATTATTCCACGTGAGTTTTCTTTTTATAAAACATGGACTGTTAAAACAGTCCTCAAAAAAAAAAACATTTGAATTATGCACACTGGCACTCTGTCGCTAATGGGTTGGAGAGTTAGTACACATTCCAACTAGTCTATAGTGATTATAGAGAGAAGTCTGAAAAAAGCATTTGAAATGTGCGCACTGATACTTTGTCGCTAATGGGTTGGGGAGTTGGTACACATTCTGAATAATCTGTTGTGATTATGGAGAAAAGTTCCAAACTGTAATAAAGTAGCATCCAGTGAATGTTGCTTTACTCTTTTGACGGGCGATGGGGTTAATTAAATGCATCCAAGACATGACAGTGAAGGTTGTTCAGGCAGTAATTTTATTACGATCACAATGCCACTCAACTTCAAAAACATGTCTTTTGCATTTTCTTTTTGCTTTGCTGAAATCTGGTTACCGTCAAAACTCAAACCCCTTAGTCGCACCGTTGAAAGTGACAATTTAATTATCCTGATAATTAATTTCAATAAAGACCAGGCATGGTTTCCCACTTTGCTTGCCGTCAGTGGCTCATTTGTTACAGTAGACAAGGATATTCGACGTCAAGGCGTTTGTTTGAGGAGCTTGA